AGAGAGAGAGAGAGAGAGAGAGAGAGAGAGAGAGAGAGAGAGAGAGAGAGAGAGAGAGAGTGCACATTGGGAAGAGGGACAAAGAGATCCAGGGCAGAGGCTCTGAAGGGAAATTAAAGTTCGAATAGAGGGGTCGAGGCTATGCACATTTAAGCATCCCAGTGAGGTGTGGTCCCATCCTCTACTGTCCTCCTGGTCTGGGCTTCAGTCTCATGCTGTGAGGTAGTCTAACACGCTGTCAGAATTCAGCGAAACCTCTTCCCTGGTGACAAGTTCCCCCAACCACGTAACACAGGAGTTAGGAAAGCGGAGTGAAGCTAACAAACAACAGACCATACTGAACAGCGAGGCCCTACTATGTGCTGGGAATTTCCATGGCCCTGGACAGAAAGAAGGTGGTACCCGAGTGCAGCCAACACATGGACTCTGGGGAACACAATGTCAAATCCAACGGTTTGGCGGTTCAATGTCAGTTACGACTTCCTTTTCTAACCCGTCAGAAGCAGCTCTGCCTCTGCCCAAAGTTACGTATCTTACTGTTAAACTTCGCCAGGTGGCAACAGAAGCACTTTCTCCCAAGTTCAGTCATTCTCCAAAAATGGAGACCATTTTTGTTTTGTTTTAGGGTTTTCGAGACAGGGTTTCTTTGCATAGCCTTGGCTATCCTGGATCTTGCTCTGTAGACCAGGCTGGTCTGGAACTCACAGAGGTCCTCCAGTCTCTGCCTCCTCAGTGCTGGGATTAAAGGAGTGCACTACCACCGTCCAGCTGACCAACTTTATAAACTCCCATTACCTCCTTTTCAAACATCACAAGGAAATATTTTTTTGAGAAATACTTCCTCATAGGAGTATTAAAGTTAGTTTGGTCCTTTCTTCTAGGTTTTCCAACTTCCTGGCAACAGTCATATTGTGATAAAATGTTAGCTTCTAAAGGCTGGAGAGATGGCTCAGTGGTTAAAAGCACTGGCTGCTCTTCCAGAGGACCCAGGTTCAATTCCCAGCACCCAAATGGTGGCTCACAACTGTAAGTACTGTTACAGGCAATCCCATGCCCTCTTCTGGCCTCTGTGAGCACCGGGCACATTCGTAGCTTTATTTGAACTCTGATTGGAGCAAAATAAAATATATCAGACACCAGGAGTCTGCTGAATGCCAACTGAATATTTGATATTAAGGCTTATATTAGACATATAAATAGTAACAGTAGGTTTCCTATGAAAGTGCTTATAGTTTTAATTACATACTGAAATATTTGTAGATTAAATTATGTGATACTGGGGTTTGCTTAAAAAAACAAATGGAGGGGTAAGGTGGATGGCACATAGGGTTAACTCTGTTTCTTCATGGTAGCTCTCAATGGTCCCCTAGCTGTCCTTGTTGTGTGTAGTCTCCACAGTCTGAGGCCTGGGAGTGGAGGGGTTACTCGTTAGGTTGGCATCCCTTACACTGCACATATAAATGCTCAGTGCACAGTTCGATGACATTTTTAACATGTATATACCCAGAAACAACAAGAACAGCATGTAGGCCTGTGGATCAAGATCTAACTCTCAGCTCCTTCTCCAGCACCATGTCTGCCTGCACACCACCATGCTCCACCATGACGATAATGGACTAAACCTCTGAAACTGTAAGCCACCCCAATTAAATGTTTTCTTTTATAAAACTTGCCACGGTCACAGTGTCTCTTTACAGCAATAGAAACCCTAACTAAGATAACCTCCATTTTATTTTGTTGTTATTTATTTATTTGAAGCTCAGGCTCAACCAGGAAGACCTTGAACTTACCACCTTCCTGCCTCTTTCTCCCCAGAGCTGAGTTAACTGACATCTACCACTCTGCCCAGTTGGATGCTGGAGACTGAACCCAGGGATCTGTGTATGTGAGGCAAGCGCTCGACCAACTGAACCACATCTTAAGCTCCACAACCTACATTTGAAGTCATAACCATCAATATTCTCCAAAATTAGTGTCAGTCCAATCAAACCATATGTTCAGAACAATTTGGGAGCAAGCTAATAAAAACTCGGGACTCATCTGGCCTCTATGGGCATCTCACACACATGCACATAATTAAAAGTAAAACTTTAGCTGGGCGGCGGTGGTGCACACCTTTAATCCCAACACTCAGGAGACAGAGCCAGGCAGATCTCTGTGAGTTCGAGGCCAACTGGTCTACAGAGTGAGTTCTAGAACAACCAAAGCCACACAGAAACTCTGTCTCAAAAAACAAAAAACAAACAAACAAACAAAAAAGGCAAAACTTAAAACCTTTAGTTTATTAACGTATTTCATGAATATGAAAAAAATATTAAACTTTTACTTTTAAACTTATTAGTAATCTTAACTGAAATGTTATATGATTAACACTAAAACGTAGTTTGAAAAGTACTTCCAATTAACCTCATTTACACAGAACTACAGTCCATGGCGAGCATGGTCACGCTGGTCTTCAATACCAGTGCTGCCACGTAAGAGTCCACCCATGTCCTCTTGTGCTGCAGCTGTTCGCCCTCCTGCAGCTCGCCTGCCTAACGCCCACACAGCCTCATTATCTGGCTCACACTCACTGTATGTGATGCTGCAGGAGCTACCGAACAGGATCTTTTGTGACATCTCGGTAGAAAAAAAAAAAGAACAAACAAAACTGAAATGACTGCTTTGGAAACAGCGAGCTACTCGGAGATGCTGGAATAAATCTATGAAACGTGAATGCGTGCTGGAAATGTGGCCGAGAAGTTGAATGCTTGCCAGATGTGTGCAAGGCCCTGGGCTCAAGCTCCAGGACTGCAAGACAAACATAAAATAGAAACTGTTGATTTTTGACTCTGATGTGGTCTTTGGATTATCTGACAATACATCAGATGCCTTTATATTTCTATAATTTAAGTACGAACTACATGTGCTTAGCCAGCTCTTTTTCCTGACCTCCAGCCTCATCTGTCCAACATGGTAACAGTTGTTTTCATGGGAGCCTGTCATAGCAACCTTAAACACGCCATTGTTCTCCTTTTTACTCTGTCTGTGGGGGGATGGCAATGCTAGCCGCCCAGTTACCTGGGGAGCAGCCTCACCGCCTACTCTTCTTTCTCCCTTCACGTGTGGGTATTACAGTCTGTCAGTTTTATCCAAACCTCCTGTTTAATGTCTTCCACTCACCTCTCTAGGTACCAGCACCGTTAGTTCTGATTCTCCACTTGTATCAATCACCTCTCTACAATTCCCCTCCCCTGTCACTGCCCTTTTATTTGGGTCCCCAGTGAACAGCTGGGTAACTGGACGTGCTCCATAAACATTTGTTAAATACTTGTTTTGTTGACCAGGCAGTGGTGGCGCACACCTTTAATCTCAGCACCTAGGAGGCAGAGGTGGATCTCTGTGTGGGTTCGAGGCCAGCCTGGTCTACAGAGCAAGTTCTGGGACAGCTGTGGCTATACAAAGAGAAAGGAAAGAAGGAAGGGAGGGAGGGAGGGAGGGAGGGAGGGAGGAAGGAAGGAAGGAAGGAAGGAAGGAAGGAAGGAAGGAAGGAAGGAAGGAAAAAAGAAAACAACATCATTAAAGGCTATTCAGCAAAATCATTTTCAGAATGTGGGATTTAATTTTAGCTTTTAGACTTCTCTGTATGGCTTATTCCTCCCCCACCCCCACCCCAGCCCCAGCACATGTAATTGTCATAAAAATGCCTTAAATTTTTTTTTTGGTTAAACTTTACCTTCTAAATTCCAGAGTTTTGGTTTCATCTTTCCAGTACCACATTCCTAATCGTAATCCACATTGCTGTAAAATGAAATGATTGCATCAAATATAACAAAAATTCACTTTATAGCCCACAGGTCCCCATAAACTTCCTACTTTCTGTTATTCCCTTGTGAAGTCTACCGAATTAGCTTCGTGGAAGATGACCTTGGGTTTCTTTCTTTCTTTTCTTTTTTTGGTTTTGGTTTGGTTTTTTGAGACAGGGTTTCTCTGTGTAACAGCTCTAGCTGTCCTGGAACTCGATCTCTAGACCAGGCTGGCCTCGGACTTACAGAGATCTGCCTGTCTCTGATAGGATTAAAGGCCTGCGCCGCCACCACTGCCAGGTGGACCTTGAGTTTCTGATCCTCATGTCTCTACCTCTCCACTGAGATTACAGACAAGCACCGTTATACCTGTTTTATGTGATGCTGGGTGATCCGTGTCCAAGACAGGGGTGGGTGCACGCTAGGCAAGTATTCAACCAACTAAGTGACACCAGGTTTCCGTGATTTTATTTTGTGTGTGGGGGTGTTTTGCTTGTACACCACGTGTGTGTCATGCTGGAAGAGATCATAAGAGGGCGTTGGATCTCCTGGAGTTGGGAGTTACCAATGGTCATGAGGCGATTTGTGGGTGCTGGGAATTGAACCTGGCTCCTTTGGAAGAGCAGCCAGTGCTCTTAATCGCTGAGCTATCCCTTTCATTGTTTTGTGTTTCTACTTGGTTTCATCCTTTTTGTTTCAATAAGGAAAGGGAGAGGATGAAAGATGGAAAGTAGGAGAACAGGAAAGGGTTAGATGGGAAGGGAAAAGGTGGAAAGAAGTGTACTCAAAGATGCCATGCAGTAACCGTTAATCTACATCTTTAAATTAAACTCCCATTAAAAAATAATAATAAATAAATAAATAAGCCAGGCAGTGGTGGTGGTGCAAACCTTTAATCCCTACACTCCGGAGGCATAGGCAGGAAGATCTCTGAGTCTGAGGCCAGCCTGGTCTACAGTGTGAGTTCCTGGATAGCTAGGGCTACACAAAGAAACCCTGTCTTGTGGGAGGGGGGGATAAAAGGTGTGTGTGGGGGGGGGGAGAGCCGACTCTAAAGTTGTCCCTGACCTTCAGGGACAGAATTTCACACAGTAGTTGGGGACAAACAACCAGCCTTTCCCCTCCCTGAGTCCAGAGCAGGCACGCTTCTAATGCAGCAGGACTGCCTAGCTCACAACCTAACAGAGGGGTGTGGGCTTTCATAATACTCTACATAGCTGCGTGGAGCGCCAGATGGAATTCAGTTCTGACAACACACCTCTCTACTTCTGTGTTTGGAGGCAACGATGCCCCCACTGTTCTTGAGAACGGTGAGCACAAGACGAAGGCGCCGGCGTCCCGGCCTCCCCATCCAGTCCCGCAGGGCTCCCACAGTGCCTGCTACACCTCCCGCCCCGTCGAGGGCGGTTCCCGGCCAGCACGGCCCGTCCGTCACCGGCCCCGAGGAAGTGCTCCCAGGCCTCACTTACGTCCAGCCGGGTGGAGGATTGCCCGTCGAACTGCTTCCTCCTGGAATAAAACTCGGGCACCGACAACATGGTGTCACCTCAGTGAGCATCCCACAGCGGTCACCTGGGATACGGCCACGCCGCGGGCGGGCGGGCTGGAGCCCGAGGGGCGGGGCTTCCGCCGGACGGAGGACCGGGAGTGCCCTGCCAGCCCCCCACCTCCCCGCTGCCGGACTTGACATTTACTGCGGTGCCCGGATGAAAACCATCCCCCTATGCCTTGATCGGAATAACTAAGTACGGTCGTATAGTAAAGATCTGTTCCAAACTGCCATGGTTAGGGCGATGAAGCCGAAACACTGTTGGACCTAGGTTGATTTGGAGAGTTTGTTTAGTGGAAGGGACTATGGGCACGGAAATAAAATATTCTTTTAACTAGTGAAAGTTGGCTTTAACCCAATTCTGAAAATATCCAAGTCAGAGGTCATAGGGATTTTTGAGTAACGTGTGTGTGTGTGTGTGTGTGTGTGTGTGTGTGTGTGTGTGCGTGTGCGTGTGTAAGTTAGGGTTACTGCTGCTATGATGAGAAACCATGACCAAAGCAACTTGGGGAGGAAAGGTTTATTCAGCTTATACTTCCACATCACAATTCATCAGCAAAGGAGGTCCAGACAGGAACTCAAGCAAGGCTGGAACCTGGAGGCAGGAGCTGATGCTGAGGCCGTGAGGGGTGCTGCTTACTGGCTGGTGCCTCACGGCTTGCTCATCCTGTTTCTTATAGAACCCCAAGTGGTTGCTCTTCCAGAGACCCTGAGTTCAATTCCCAGCACCCACATGGTTGCTCACAACCATCTGTAATGAGATCTGGCGCCCTCTTCTGGTGTGCAGGCATTCCTGCAGTTAGAACACTGTATACAGGGCTGGAGAGATGGCTCATCAGTTAGGAGCACTGGATGTTCTTCCAGAGGACCTGGGTTCAATTCCCAGCAACCACATGGCAGCTCACAACTGTCTGTAACTCCTGTTCCAAGGGATCTGACACCTTCACACCAATGCACATAAAATAAAGTTTTAAAAAAAATTATTTATAAAAAAAGAACACTGTATACATAACAAATAATTTTTTTTGAGCTGAGGATCGAACCCAGGCAAGCGCTCTACCACTGAGCTAAATCCCCAACTCCAAATAAATAAGTTTTAAAAAAATACCAGGAGGTGGTGGCTCACACCTTTAATCCCAGCACTCAGGAGGCAGAGGTAGGCGGATCTCTGCAAGTTCAAGGCCTACCTGGTCTATAGAGTGAGTTACAGAACAGGCTCCAAAGCTACACAGAGAAACTGTCTCAAAAAAACAAAAAAACACCCCAAAACCTACCCAGTATAAACATTAGCCTTAATGAGTGCTCAAAATTAGTGTTGCTCAAAACAAAAGCAAGAATGACTTGCTCAGAGTTGATGGATATTCAAATGAGCTTATGTTCACTTCAGGTCACGATTCCTGTTCTTTCTCTCTGCAGTTGAACTGATAAGGAGAATGGATTATTTTCCCCCTCCATATAAGCAATGCTAGATGAAGAGGCGGGCGATTGGGAATGCCTAATGAGCCTGCTTTTGTATCCCCACAGCTGAATAGGAATGAGAATCGCAGTAAATATGTCCATAAACTTTACAGTTACAGCAACTGGCATGTCACTGCCTGCCCTAGTCTCCCAGTCACTGGTTATGGCGGTCTAAAACTGGAGTCAATAAATCCCTGTTCTATTCACGGAGTCAGTTCTACTTGATGAAGTTAATTTAAATGCATGGAAACCCACCCGTACACCTCCAGTGCTAGTCTGAGGCTAAGGGTCAAGCGGGCTTCCTTACTGAAAGGGAAAGAGAATCCTAGATCCCAAGAATTATTTAACAACCAGTATCTACAACCTGGAGTGGAGCGAACCGGGAGAAAATGAGATAAGGTTCCAGGAAAGACTAAGACCAAGGAATCTATTATTCTGCAATCAGTAGAGAATGTAAGAATAATGTTCTTCAGATAGCCCACTCAATGCATTCAGTGCTAACGGAACACCAAGGGTTTTGTAGACCTCACCATCTTTAACCTCAGTCTAAACTAAGGTGAAAGGAAGTTCCTGAGAAGTTAAAACAGACGATCACCATGCATAGACAGGCATGGTGCTGCATGTCTGGAATCCCCGCACTCTGGAGGTGAGCTGGAGGCCAACCTGGGGCCCACATGGTGGAAGTGAGAGCTCACTCATCCCCCACCATCCACATGCTCAGGGAAGCACATGCCTACACACACATGCAATATGAAAGGAACAAACTTCCTAAAGTTCATACTGTTATAAAAAAAGAAATATAAAGTTACTTTCTAAGTATTTAATACTCCTAAGTACCCTGCGAGAGAAAGAGTTGTTTGTGCCTAATCAAGAGAAACTCCTTAAGATCTTATTGAAACTGAGAAGCAGGGTTTGACGAGATGGGTAAGAGGTTAAGGTCATTCTTGCAGAGGACCTGGGTTTGGTTCCCAGCACCCACATGGTAGCTTATAACTCCATCTCTAGCTTCAGGGATCAAACCTTGTAGTGGATAGCTGTTCTGATGATGACCTTGAAGCACCGCCCCCAGAGAGGCAGCAGGTAACTGCTACACTTGCCTCTGACCTTGAAGTCCATGCCCCTGAGGTGTGGCCTCTCTGGACCCCTAAGACCTGGGATGCACATAAGTGGCGCTCTCTTCGCTCCCTCCTGGTTTGGAGGCTGAGACGGACCAGGCAGATCTTGGACCAGGAAGATCATCGTGGACCATAGCTCGTTTTTTCAGACTGTAGTGAGTTTTATCTTCTAATAAATTCCTTTGCCTTTTATACAGACTCTGTGGATTTCTAGCAATAAAACCTCCTCTTCCGACCTCCAAGAGCAGTAGGTACACACACGATATACATACATACGTACATACATACACACAAAACACTCATAATACATTTTTTTTTAATCTAAAAAAAAAGCAACTAAGAGCATGTAACTCAGAACAAAGTTTCTGGTCTCCGAATTTAAGACCTGACATTAACTAGATATAAACATATACTTGTGTTGGGCATGGTGGCACATGCCTTTAGTGCTACTAACACTTAGGAGGCAGAGGCAGGTGGATCTCTGTGAATTCCAGGCCAAACCAGGACAGTCAGGGCTATATAGACACTGTCTCAAAAACAAAAAAATTCATATTCTTATTTAGTGAAAAAATCATAAAGATAGATTTTCAGTATTGCAATTCTGCCATGAAAGAAAAGAACAATGCTTGAGACGACCATGGGGGTCCTTGCCTGTAATCCCAGCACTGGAGATACTGGAGCAGGAAGACCGGGAGTTCAAAGCCTGCCTGGGCTACACAGCAAGTTAGAATCGAAAAACAAAACACTTGTGATGCCAAATAGTGCATAAACATTCCTGCTTGTTTTCCTGAACTTCACTTTGCAGCCAGCCTTCTCTGACAGTGGAAGAGTGCCCATGGCATCCTGATTCGGTCTAAAGACAAGACATTTTAAAACTAAGTTCGGTCCCACTAAACCAGAAATGCAAATGTTCTTTTTTTTTGAGCCATCTCTCCAGGCCCTTATGATTCATTTTGTTATTTTAATTGTGTGTGTGTGTGTGTGTGTGTGTGTGTGTGTGTGTGTGTTATATGCACATGAATACAAGGGCCCATCCAGGTCAGAGGTGTCAGGTACCTTGGAGCTGAAGTTACAGGCCGTGGTAATCCACATGATGTGGGTGCTGGAAATTGGACTCAGGTCTTCAGGAAAGTCAGTATGTGCTCTTAACCATTGAGCCATCTCTCCAACCCCTCCTACTCTTTTGTTCATTTTTGTTTTTTTGAGACAGGGTTTCACTGTGTAGCTCTGGCTGTCCTGGAACTCGCTCTGTAGACCAGCTGTCCTGGAACTCACGGAGATCCACTTGCCTCTGCCTCCCAAGTGGTGGGATTAAAGGTGTGCGTCACCACTGCCGGACTGCCCCTCTTATTTTTTTTTTTTTTTTTTTTTTGGTTTTTCAAAATAGGGTTTCTCTGTGTAGCTTTGCACCTTTCCTGGAACTCGCTTTGGAGACCAGGCTCGCCTCGAACTCACAGAAATCCGCCTGCCTCTGCCTCCCAAGTGCTGGGATTAAAGGCGTGCGCAGCTGCCACCGCCGCCGCCGCCGCCGCCGCCACCACCACCACCACCACCACCCGGCTCTTATTTCTTAATCTTAGCATGCATATTCCCTTAGCAATGGTCTTGACATATGGTTATGAGTTTAAATCTTTACTCACATTCATTTATGTGTACATGTGTGTACGTGTTATAATAAACAGGTGGAGTGTCAAGGACAACTTGTGGGAGTTCTCTCCTGTGATGCAGAGCCTGAGGATGGAATTCGGGTGCTCAAGGTTGGCTTGTTTTTTATTTCCAGTATCCAGTGGCAAGGGGAACATGCTTTACAACACAACTTCTACCCCTACAGTTTAAAGTGGGGATGTTAGCCGGGCAGCAGTGGCACACGCCTTCCTTTAATCCCAGCACTCGGGAAGCAGAGCCAGGCGGATCTCAGTGAGTTCGAGGCCAGCCTGGGCTACAGAGCGAGATCCAGGACACCAAAACCACAGAGTAAACCCTGTCTCAAAAAACAAAAAACAAAACAACAACAACAAAAAAGATAAAGTGGGAATGTCTTCTGTGCCTGTCCCCTTAGCTTCATAAAAGATCTTTTTATTTCCTCCACATGTTCAGATTGTACTCCTGTTGAAGATGTGAGATTGATAGCTATGGGGTTGAGGATGTAGCTCAGTTGGAGTGCTCGCCTAGGATGGGCAAAGCCCTGGTTAGATCCTCAGCACAGTACTGAAAAAAAAGTGAGGGGCTGACCAATGGCTCAGGGGGTAAGGAGCTGGCTGACAAGCCTGAGTTCAGTCCCTAGGACTGACGCCCGTAGTGGAACGCGAGCTCTCTCAAGTCGTCCTCTGACCTCCACATGTGCGCCGTGGCAGGGATGCAAACATGCACGCACATAATACAACTGTCATTTTGAAAAACAGACTGAGGCTGGAGAGATGGCGCAGTGGGTAAGAGCACTTGTTGCTCTGGCAGAGGACCCAGGTTCAATGCCCAGCACCCACATGGCAGCTCACATCTGTCTG